ATTGTAGTTATTGAATGAGGATTTAAGAATCCTGTGGAATGAGGATTTAAGAATCCTATGAGCTCAGAAGATCCATAAATACCTACTGTGGACTTATCAGTTTTAGGAATTTTTCACATTAGCTGTAGTGAGGTCTAGAAACTGCTTTATTTATTGATTTGATTTATTTATTTATTGGTTCGATTTATACGCCGCCCTTCTCCGGAGACTCAGGACGGCTTACAATGCGTTAAGCAATAGCCTTCATACTTTTGTATATACCTGCTTAGTAGGGCTTTCGGCTCCCCCTAAGCGGTGTTCTTTTTTATACAAAGTCAGCTTATTGCCCCCACAATCTGGGTCCTCATTTTACCTACCTCGGAAGGATGGAAGGCTGAGTCAACCTTGAGCCTGGTGAGATTTGAACTCGCACTAATTGCAGGCAGCTGCTGCGCACCAAGGCTCTTCCTTTATTCTTGTCTATCTCCTTTCCTAATTGGGACGCGGTGGCTCAGTGGCTAAGACACTGAGCTTGTTGATCGAAAGGTCGGCAGTTCAGCGGTTCGAGTCCCTAGTGCCGCGTAACGGGGTGAGCTCCCGTGACTTGTCCCAGCTTCTGCCAAGCTAGCAGTTCAAAAGCACGTAAAAATGCAAGTAGAAAAATAGGGAGCACCTTTGGTGGGAAGGTAACAGCGTTCCGTGTGCCTTTGGCGTTGAGTCATGCCGGCCACATGACCACGGAGGCGTCTTCGGACAGCGCTGGCTCTTCGGCTTTGATAGGGAGATGAGCACTGCCCCCTAGAGTCGGGAACGACTAGCACATATGTGCGAGGGGAACCTTTACCTTTACTTTTATCTCCTCTCCTGGAGACTTTAATCTTGACAGACTACATTTTTCTAACATGAGTGGCCATGAATGTCATGCTCTTTCTACGTATTTCTCAAAGGGAATCATTTTTAACTTCCCTCGATGTTGCTTTATTCCCTCTTTATTTCTACTAATTTTTTTTCCCAGGCTATATTTCAAGCTTTCTCAACCTTGGCAACTTTAAAACCTGTGGACCAACTCTCAGAATTCTCCAGCCAGCATGGGAGAGAGAGAGAGAGAGAGAGAGAGAGAGAGAGAAATCACTCTTGGGAACTCAAACAAATTAAACAATTAGCCGGAACGATGTCATGCACAGATGCCCTACTGGTTAATACCTAACACAAAGGAAACAAAGATAGGTTTGTTCTGTAGCACTTCCCTTGATGACTTTATACCTCTAGGAAATTTGTGGTCACCCCCATGTAGGAGGACAAGATGAAATACGATGTCCTTCAATGCTATAGCAGAAAGTTAGCTGGGGATCTCTTGGGTGTTAAAATTAAGGGCATATCAACCCTTTTCTTCCTTTCATAAATTACATTTGAGATTTAAAATTTCCTTAAGCTTCTGCGAGCATGATGGACGCTGTTCTGAGAAGGTTCCAGGTGATAGAAGGTGGAAAGTGATGGCAGCCCAATCAGTTGCCTTCATTATGAGAAGGCTATTATTGAATAGAATAGAAATAGAATAGAATAGAATAGAATAAATAATTAGAAGGGACCTTGGAGGTCTTCTAGTCCAACCCCCTGCTTAGGCAGGAAACCCTACACTACTTCAGACAATGGTTATCCAACATCTTCTTAAAAACTTTCAGCGTTGGAGCATTCACAACTTCTGGAGGCAAGTTGTTCCAATTAATGGTTCTCACTTTCAGGAAATTTCTCCTTAGTTCTAGGTTGCTTTTCTCCTTGATTAGTTTCCACCCATTGCTCCTTGTCCTGCCCTCAGGTGCTTTGGAGAAGAGCTTGACTCCTTCTTCTTTGGGGCAACCCCTGAGATATCGGACGACTGCTATCACGTCTCCCCTAGTTCTTTTTTTCATTAAACTAGACATACCCAGTTCCTGCAACCATTCTTCATGTTTTTAGCCTCCAGTCCCCTAATCATCTTTGATTGCTCTTCTCTGAACTCTTTCTAGAGCCTCCACACCTTTTTTTACATCGTGCGGACCAAAACTGGATGCAGAATTCCAAGTGTGGCCTTACAAGGCATTATAAAGTGATATTAACACTTCACGGGATTTTGATTGTATCCCTCTGTTTATGCAGCCTAGACTGTGTTGGCTTTTTTAAAATTAAGAATAATGTATATGGCTGCCCAATTCAGACTCTGGGCAGTTTACAGAAGAACTAGTGGTGAAATCTAGCTGCTTCTATCTGGTTTGGGCGAACTGGTAGTGGTGGCTGCGGGAGGCTCCGCCCACCCACGCGGACATCATGACGTCTTTTTTTTGTGCGACATTTTAAGCCTCTGCACACGCACATTGGCAAACCGGTAGGGAAGATACCCTTTTCCCCCGAAAATCAGAAATCCCATGATAATAAGCTCAATCGGGCTTTTGAGTGCATGCACTAAAATAACCCCCCCCCGATAATAAGCCCTCCCTGAAAATATTTAAATGCATGTGCAGCCGATCCCCGCCATTTCCTCTGGTTTCTTCCACGTGCCCCAAAATAATATCACCTGAAAATAAGGCGAAGCGCTTATTTCGGGGTTCAAAAAAATATAAGACAGGGTCTTATTTTTGGGAAACACAGTAAGTAAATTTCACCTCTGAACAGAACCCAATACAAGATCTAGTAAACTTCTCACTCCTGTGGTGACAACAATGAAGCCAACCAGCTGATGGGTGCCATATCACCTTGACGTCCCAAGCCTCTCTGGCAGAACCATGTCTTCAATGCCTTTCAAAAGGATTTCAAAGTGGGGGTGACAACTTGCAAAGCTTTCAAGTTGCCATGAGAAGGAGGGAGGGAGAACTGATAGAGCTGATTGATTTCCCTAACTGAAGTGCATTCCATACATTCTTCCTGACCGCAATCAGAAGGAGGGTGTTGGATTTCACAGCCAGCCAAAGTGGTTAATTGGAGAATGTGATTTATGACATGGCCAGAGAGGAGGGGAGAGACAGGGTCATAGGGGAACGTAAATCTACGTGGGATTAGTTCTAACTGCATCCGAATATTGCCGAAATGGTGCTCCTAATAAATGACTGTATTTCTTTTGAAGTTCGGCTCATGGCTCATGAATTAATTAGGGCATCTTTCGGAAACTCCACAGGGGGCCAACTCACAGGGGGTGATGTTCTACAGGGAGGGATCCACCACAGAGATCTTCTTGATCTCACCAGATGGACCTCCTTAAGAAAGGCGATCCGTAGCATAATCATGCTTCCTTGCTCTGCTGATTTGGGTAGATATAACTGGGGGAAAAAAGTCCTTCAAACAATCTGACCCCCCCCCAGGGCATGTAAGGTTTTGAAGGTGATAACCAGCCCCTTGAATCAGATCTTGAAGTAAATTGGCAGCCGATGCCACAACCGCAAGAGAAGTAACACGTGTGGAAATCTAGATTTGCGCCAAATCACGAAGGCCACCAAGTTTTGAAGCAACGGAAGCTTCCAGATTCTTTTCAACTTTCCAGATACTTGTGTAGCATTGCAGTAAGTTCAAGCTGGGAGGTGAGTAGGGGGTGGGCAACTGTGAGTAGGTCCAGGAAAGGGCATCACTGTCGCACAACCCGCAGTTGTGTGAAGGCCCTCTTAGCCACGACTACCACCTCGGTCCTTGAGCAGGGGTCGTGAATCTAAAACAGAGGTCTTCAAATTTGGCAGCTTTAAGATTTGTGGACTTCAACTCCCAGAATTCTGGGAGTTGAAGTCCACAAGTCTTAAAGCTGCCAAGTTTGAAGACCTCTGATCTAGAACCTTCAGATTATGCTGTGTTTATTATAGGTGGTTTTGAGGGGTGTGTGTGTGTGTGTGTGTGTGTGTGTGTGTCAAAGAGGGTGGATATGATTATATGATCAAAGTCCTGCCCAGCTTTTCTTGATTCTTTTGACCTGTAGGTAGCCTTGGTTCATTGACCTAAATCCGTGATGGCGAACCAGAGGTGGCACGCAGTCCTCTCTGTGGGCATGCACGCCGCCGCCAGCTGATTTTCTGGTTTCCAGCGCCGGCCAGCTGGTCTTCGCAGGCACCGGAGCGCCTGAAAACGGCCTGAAAACAGCCAAAGAAACAGCCAATAAACAGGCTGTTTCTGGGCCATTTTCAGGCAGTTTTTCAGGCCATTTTTCAGGCTGTTTTGGGCCATTTTCAGGCCGTATTTCGGGCTGTTTTCTGGGCTGTTTTCAGGCCAGTCAGACCATTTTCAGGGCAGTTTCTGGGCTTTTTTCAGGCCATTTTTCAGGCCGTTTTTCAGGCCGTTTTCAGGATGTTTTTGGGGCCATTTTCAGGATGTTTTTTGGGCCGAAAATGGCCTGAAAAAAGCCCAGAAACTGCCCTGAAAATGGTCTAAGACTGGCCTGAAAACCACTCAGAAAACCGCCCGAAAAACGGCCCGAAAATCCCCAGAAAATGGTCTAAAAATGGCTGGAAAACAGCCCGGAAAACAGCCAAAAATCCCCCCAAAACAGACATGCGTGTGCTGGCCAGCTGATCTTTGGCTTTCCAATGCTCTGGTGTGTACAAAGACCAGCTGGCCAGTGCACATGCGTGTGCCAGAAACCCGAAAACCAGCTGGCATGCACGCACATTCCGGTTTGGGCACTCGGTGCCGAAAAGGTTTGCCATCACGGACCTAAATCAACCGTTTCTCAATCTTGACAGGCTTGAAGATTTGTGGACTTCAACAGCCACAATTGGAGTTGGGTTATCACACCATCACTAGAAAGGTTCTGTTTCTAGTAGACCTCTGTCAAACCTCCGTTCATTCACAGGATGACTGACGGCATCCCCAAAAGATGTAAAATTCTTAGCAAGCCACAGGAAGCTTACAGTGTTGGCACGAGAGATCAACCAGGAGTTGAGAAGGTGTCTCGTTACCGTGTTCCTCTGTTCTGCAATCCTAGCATAGCTGAACCGTCATTTCATACCTCCGACCTTCTTTTCCTCCCCATTTTCATCAGGTTTAAAACAGCCTCTTATTGTCCTGGGTTTGGATTTTAAAATAGTACTTTATTCTAAGCACGGTATTCAAGCTAACACTCAAATTACTTAGGAGCAAAAACAGGTGACAACGCTGTCACATGGGTGAGGATGAGCATCTCGCGATACAATCCAAAAAAGAAAAAGGAATCCTTCAAAAGTTTGACACCCCCGCTTCCAATCTCCCCTCCCCCTCATCCTTTAAGCACTGGAAAATAAGATGTAGGGAGATTATGTTGGCTGGGGCATCCCAGCAAACATCTGGTGGGCATCGGATGGCAGAATACTTCATTTCTTCAAGGAAGGAGAATATTTGTAGCTCAGGGTTGAAATGAGGGCGTCCTGGGTGCTCTCTGAGCTTGGTAATTTTCTTGCAGAGGTTTCATGACCCGAACACAACATCATCAGTGTTAAAATGGGATTTGTGGCGAGGAGGAGGAGGAGGAGGAGGAGGAGGAGGAGGAGGAGGAGGAGGAGGAGGAAGAGGAGGAGGATGATGACTTGGTGCTCTCTGAGCCTGGTTGTTTTCTTGGAGACATTTCATTACCAAACTAGATGATGTCATCAGTGCTAGAGGGAAGTGGGATTTGTGGAGAGGAGGAGGACTGTGAAGTCTATGGCGCTCTTTGAGCTTGGTTCTTTTCTTGCAGACATTTCATTACCAAACTAGGTAACATCATCAGCTGTTTTCACCTCGTTTGGGTAATGAAATGTCGCAAGAAAATAACCAAGCTCAGAGAACACCAAGAACCTCTCACTTTGTTTCTTCCACCCCAAGAAACACAGAGAAGAAGCAAGAGGGAAGGATAGAATGTCATACTATTTGATAGATGGTGTAACACTGCCACCTGCAGGCTGAAACAAGAAGCGTTTTGCTATGACATAACGGACATTTTCTAATGGGAACCTGTCTTCCAGCTTGCAAATGTTGGACAAACATTTCAGAAATAATTCTGGACTTTATGATAGATTGTGTGTCACTTTATTTCAATTCCTTCTTCTTTCTGGGATAGAGAGGAGAAAAAAAATGGAGGGAAAAATTAACAATAGGATGATGGAGGAATATAACGTAAAATGAAAACTATTATGTTCATCTACAGAAAAGCATTCCAGAACTTACATATTACTTTGGTATGGAATCCCCCCCCTCCTATTCTTAGGAGAGTATTATAAATGAATATAATACTAACTTTTTCTAGTGTCTCACCTACCTGAGTATTTTTTTAACAAGAGAATGTTCTCAGGATTTGTTTTCTATGCAGTCAGCTAGGAAACAAATGGTAGGCACTGGATCTTTGACCTGAAAAAAATAACAATAACAACAATAACACCTTGATGGATTAATTCAGTTACAGCTCTCAAATCTCTAATGTATATTTTTTCGGATAAGTGATTTTGGCAATTGTCCCATCTCCACTCAATCTGGTGTCATGCCGCTAAACTTGATTCATCAATTCCTGTAAAAAAAAACAACCCACAGGTTTTATGCGATGAATATTCTTTAAGCGGAGCAAGTCTCATACGCACAAATAAACGCAGCTTCTTCTTAGATGACTTCCTAATCTGGTTTCCGATTCCATTGCTTTTTAAATGTTTTTAATATGTTTTGTTACTGCTTTTTAATTTGGGGGCCAAATTTACATAGATCTTTTAAAATTGTTTTTAATGTTTGTATTTATGTTTTTTACTTTGGCTGTACACCGCCCTGAGTCCTTCGGGAGAAGGGCGGTCTATAAATTTGATAATAAATAAAATAAAAATAAATAAATATATTCATGAGGTCTGCTCTGCCAATAAAAAATCCCAATTACCCTGTTATTAACACAGCTGCCTGCAATTTCTGCAGGTTCAAATCTCTCCAAGGCTCAAGGTTGACTCAGCCTTCCATCCTTTCTAAGGTAGGTAAATTGAGGACCCAGTTTGTGGGGGCAATAAGCTGACTTTGTATAAATATACAAAAGTATGAAGGCTATTGCTTAACGCATTGTAAGCCGCCCTGAGTCTCCGGAGAAGGGCGGCATATAAATCGAATTAAAAAATAAATAAATAAATAAATTAACGAACACCTCTCAAAATTCAGTGATGGTGATCAGATTCATTCATTCAAATCCGTTCATTCTCCCGCACCATTCAAAGGGAGTTCATCCCAAATTGTATTACTAAAAGTCTTTGATGAACACCCTTTGAAAGGTGCGAGAGTAGGAATGGATTTCAGGAGGAAAAAAAATTGCAGACTACAGGAACCAGGAGCATCAACTCAGGTGACCCTGATGACACAGATAAACCTCCAAGTAGTCTCAACGACTCTCTAAAAAGGATGCCAATGACCAGCTGTCTGCAAGGAATATAAATCCTTCCGATTCCCCACCATCCTGTCAGAGCTGAAGAAGCTTCTTGGATGAGAAGCAAAACCAGGGGTGAAATGTAAAATTTGTTACTACCGGTTCTGTGGGTGTGGCTTGGTGGTGGTGGGGTAATGTGACTGGGTGGGCATGGCCAACTTTTTTTTTTTTAAACTTTTCAAAGCATTTTTTCTAATGCTTTGAAAAGCCTCTGCCGATCAGGCAAATCAGCTGGGATCGTCAGAGAGGCTTTTCAAAAAATACCTCATTGCCGATCAGGAAACTCAGCTGGGATCGTCAGAGAGACTTTTTTTAAAAGACCTCTCTGCAGATCAGGAAACTCAGCTGGGATCGTCAGAGAGGCTTTTCAAAAAATACCTCATTGCCGATCAGGAAACTCAGCTGGGATCGTCAGAGAAGCTTTTCAAAAAATACCTCATTGCCGATCAGGCAAATCAGCTGGGATCGTCAGAGAGGCTTTTCAAAAAATACCTCATTGCCGATCAGGAAACTCAGCTGGGATCGTCAGAGAGACTTTTTAAAAAATACCTCTCTGCAGATCAGGAAACTCAGCTGGGATCGTCAGAGAGACTTTTTAAAAAATACCTCTCTGCAGATCAGGAAACTCAGCTGGGATCGTCAGAGAGACTTTTTAAAAAATACCTCTCTGCAGATCAGGAAACTCAGCTGGGATCGTCAGAGAGGCTTTTCAAAAAATACCTCATTGCCGATCAGGAAATTCAGCTGGGATCGTCAGAGAGACTTTTTTAAAAAGACCTCTCTGCAGATCAGGAAACTCAGCTGAGATCGTCAGAGAGGCTTTTTAAAAAATGCTTTGAAAAGCCTCATTGCCGATCAGGCAACTCAGCTGGGATCGTCAGAGACTTTTCAAAGCATTTTTTTTTACCACCTCTTCGGCCAAGAGGTTGCAGAAAAACATGCTTTGAAAAGCCTCTGACGATCCCAGCTGAGCCGCGGGATCATCAGAGGCTTTTTTTTTTTTTACTTTTAAAGCATTTTTTCGTCGGAAGAGGTTGTAGAAAAAATGCTTTTAAAAGTAAAAAAAAAAATCTCTGATGATCGTATGGCTCAGTTGGGCATGGGGGAGCGGGGCGGGCGCAGGGATTTTTGCTACCGGTTCTCCGAACCATCCGCCGCCATCGCTACCAGATCGGGCGATCTGGTCCGAACCGGGAGCATTTCACCTCTGAGCAAAACGCCTTCAAAAGGAAAAGAAACAAAGGAAGTCCAGTTGCCTCCTGAAAAAAGCACCTTTGGGGTAACCATGATCTGGATGACGGGGAATCTCTACAGACTTGTGAACTCGGATCTTACCTGTATTCCACAATACGTTGGAGGTGCATTCAGATGACAGCACTTGGTAACGTAACTAGTCCTTTGTTCAACCAAAGCAGACACCTGATCTTCAGCATCCACAGTACCAGGGGGGAGCAGGGTTAATGCATTTGCTCTAAGTCTGAAATTTGAGATAGGAAGTTATCACCAATCCCCCCTTTTTAAGGTAAGAAAACACAGATTCCTCAGAAATGATCAAGATCTGATTTCATATAATCAGGGGCAAGAAAATATAGTACAGGTAGACCTCGACGTACAACCGCAGCAGAGACGAAAGTTCCTGTTGCTAAGCGAGACTGTTGTTAAGTGAGATTTGCCCCATTTTACGACCTCGCTTGCCAAAAGGGATCACGTCACCTCAGGACTGTCACTGCGTTTTTATATTTACCAGCTGAGCTCTATTTTTGAACTATAAGACTTTCCGTAGTTTGCCAAGTCCTTATCTCTGATGCTACTACGCATGTCCACATTCCTTTTCTTTTCTTCCTTTGTTCTCTTGCCAGGAGAGGTCCGGCAGGAGACTTCGTTGCCAAGATGTAATTATTTTAGCTAGTGAGATGTTTTCTTTTTCTTTATAACAAATAAATGAGTTTTCTTAGAAGATATTTCTTCGGGTTTGTTTTCTTAAAATGTTCTCGCAAGGAAAAGTCACGATCCGCTCCTCGTAATCAAGGTACGATTATCCCAGAGCCAGGATGGGATTAATCAATGCCCTGACAAGGACACCGTCATAAATATGAGTCAGTTGCCAAAGCGTCTAAATTTTGATCATGTGACCAAAAGGATGCTGCAACGGTCATAAAATGGTCATAAGTCAACTTTTTCACTGCTGTTGTCACTTCAAACCGTCACTAAACGAATTGTGGTAAGTCAAGGACTACCTATATCTGTATTTTCAAGCCAGTTAGGTCTACATTCATAACAGCATTACAGCTAAACGATGTTTTTTTTGAGGGAGGATTTGAAATGTTCAGCCTCTGAGGGCTACCACATATGTGGGTAGCTACAGAAACATCTGGTCAAAGTTTGAAGTAGATACAAAAACATCTGGTCAAAGTTTGTGTTAGAATATTCATGACTGGGAAGACATGGTAACAAGGTCAGCCAATGAATAGGCATAGCAACCAAGTCAGCCAATTGGGAGCTGAGACAGAGAGGAGCCAGGGTGTGTCTTAGTCTGCAGCTTCTGATTCTGTGCAGAGAATTGAAACTAAAACCAAGCAGTCCTTGTATGCTTGTCTGCTCTGCTAAAATGAAACTAACTGTTCTCTCCTGCCTTGTGTTGTAACTGCTACTACATTGAAGAAGAACTCTGATATCGGTATTGTAAATACTTCATCTATTATTATGTATATAAAGAAGTTAATGAATCCTGCTGAATCAGTTTATCTGTGGGTGCTTCTGGATTTGATTTTTTGCAAGAAACTCTGACAGTTTGTCTCTTTTTTTCTTTTCACAGATTGAGCCCAATTTACAGAAAAACAGTCAATGAAACTCAGGTTTTGATACGCATGTTTTACTGTATACAGTACAGTAGTCCTCGACTTACAACAGTTCATTTAGTGACCGTTCGAAGTCACATCACTGAAAAAAGTGACTTATGACCGTCTTTTGTATTTACAATTGTTTCAATAGCCCCACAGTCATGTGATCAAAATTCAGATGCTGGGCAACTGACTCGTATTTATGACGGTTTGTAGAGTCCCGGGGTCACGTCATCATCTTTTCCGACCTTCTGACCAGCAAAATCAACGGGGAAGCCAGATTCACCTTCACGACCGTGTTACTATCTTAACAAGTGCAGTGATCCACTTAACAACGGTGGCAAGCAAGATCGTAAAACAGGGAAAAACTCACTTAACGTTTCCCTTCACAACAGAAATGTTGGACTCTTATTATACTGAGGCTGAGCAGTATAATAAGGGTAAATATGGAAAAAAATGCAGATTTTGGAGCAGATTTTTTGGAGGAGAGCCCAGCTGGAGATGACAACTTGATTAATCAAACGTATCTTATCAGATTGAAAATTGAAACCATCCATTTCAGTTGATTCCTTTGAGAAAATGATCATTGGTCAGATAGACAACCTCTAAGATGGGAGTGTCAATTTCATTAAGGGCCGCATCAGGGTTGTGTTTGATCTTGGGGGGGCTGGGGTGGGTGTGGCCAGGGTGGGCGTGGCCAGCTCGACATCACCTGTGTTGGGGGCAGCTGTAGTGAACAAGTGCTAAGGCAGGACTTCTCTCAGAAGTTTCCTCACTCTCCACAAACAACAGAAATGTTGGGTTCAATTGAGGTCATAAGTCGAGGACTACCTGTATATTGCTAGATTTCTATTAGCCTTCCTCCCTCCCTCCGTCCATCCCTCCCTCCCTTCCTTATTTCTTTCCTTTCTCTTTTCCTCCCTCCCTCCCTCCCTCCCTCCCTTCTTTCCTTCCTCTTTTCCTCCCTTCTTTTCCTCCCTTCCTCCCTCCCTCCTCCTTATTTCTTTCCTTCCTCTTTTCCTCCTCCCTTCCTCTTTTCCTTCCTTCCCTCCTTCCTTCCTCCCTCCCTTCCTCCCTTCCTTATTTCTTTCCTTTCTCTTTTCCTCCCTCCCTTCCTCCCTCCCTTATTTATTTCTTTCCTTCCTCTTTTCCTCCCTCCCTTCCTCTTTTCCTTCCTCCCTCCCTCCCTCCCTCCCTCCCTTCCTTTTCTTTCCTTTCTCTTTTCCTCCCTCTCTCCCTCCCTCCCTCCCTTCTTTCCTTCCTCTTTTCCTCCCTTCCTTCCTCTTTTCCTCCCTTCCTTCCTCCCTCCCTCTCTTATTTCTTTCCTTCCTCTTTTCCTCCTTCCCTTCCTCTTTTCCTTCCTTCCCTCCTTCCTCCCTCCCTCCCTTCCTCCCTTCCTTATTTCTTTCCTTTCTCTTTTTTTCCCTCCCTCCCTTCCTCCCTCCCTCCCTTCTTTCCTTCCTCTTTTCCTCCCTTCCTTCCTCTTTTCCTCCCTTCCTTCCTCCCTCCCTCCCTCCCTTATTTCTTTCCTTCCTCTTTTCCTCCTTCCCTTCCTCTTTTCCTTCCTTCCCTCCTTCCTCCCTCCCTCCCTGCCTCCCTCCCTTTCTTATTTTTTCCTTCCTTTTCCTCCCTCCCTTCCTCTTTTCCTTCCTTCCCTCCTTCCTTTCTCCCTTCCTCCCTCCCTCCCTTTCTTATTTCTTTCCTTCCTTTCCCTCCCTCCCTCCCTCCCTCCCTCCCTTTCTTCCTTCTTCCCCTCTTTCCTTCTTTTTCCTTCCTTGCTCTCTTCCCATCTTCCTTTCTTTTTCTTTGGCCTTCCTCTTTCCCTTTCTCCTTTCCCGTCCCTTCTTGGCATGCTCAAATGCAAAAGGGGAAATATTTCTCCTTTTGCTTTGTTTTTAGTTTCTTTTGGTAGCCCTCTGCCAGCGAAAATGGAGCCCTCTGTTTTTGCTGGCAGGGGACTGCCGTTGCGGCCAAAAGTGGAGCCCAGGAGGGCCACGTGAGCCCCCCCACCCCGAGCTCCGTTTTCACTAGCAGAGGCACTGCGGGCCAGTCCTTCGCAGTTTCCAGGGCGGCCCCACACCAGATCTAAGCATCTTGTGGGCTGGATCTGGCCGGTGGGCCTTATTTATTTATTTATTTATTTATTTATTTATTTATTTATTTATTTTATTAGATTTCTATACCGCCCTACTCCCGAAGGACTCGGGGCGGTGCACAGCCAAACAATAAAACCCATCCATACAAAATTTAAAAGTAGAATAAAATCAAATTAAATAATTTTGGCCCCCGACAAATTTAAAACCCCAAACTATTTAAAACCAATTTTTAAAATTGAATGTATAAAATACTAAAAGATATTTAAAAATTAGTTGAGTTTGAGTCTGCTCTAAAGTGTGATAGAATATAAATTTCCATGCAAATATGGTTAAAACTTTACCTCTTGAGGAATTCCACATACGTATGATCGGAATATTCCCCACAAATCTCATTTCCTTTTTCAATCAAAGCGTGCAGTGGGGCTATTGTTTTCAAGTCCTAGAATTCAGAAAAAAGTATCGTTGCGTTAAGGAAGAATATTACCACGTTGTAAAGTATTCCAGCAAAGTGCCCCCAATACAGGTGGTCCTCGACTTACGACCACAATTCAGCCCAACATTTCTGTTGCTAAGCGAGACGGTGGTTAAGCGAGTCCTCCCCCCCCATTTTATGACTTTCCTTGCCACAATTGTTAAGTGAACCCCTGCCAGTGATGAAATCTAAAATTTGTTACTACTGGTTCTGTGAGCGTGGCTTGGTGGGAGGGGGTTAATGTGACTGGGTGGGCGTGGCCAATTTTTTTTTAACTTTTAAAAGTTAAAAAAAAGTTAAAAGTTTTTTCTACAACTAGAGTTGCCAGGTGTCCACTATTTGAGCGGACAGTCCGCTTTTTTCACATTATGTTCACTATTTTTTTTTCCCACAAAATAGTGGACATTTTTTTTATCCAAAAGCTTTATGATGAAATGGTACGTAATCTAAAGCTGTACAGTCTAAGAGACTAAGGATAGGAGAATCGCGTTTTGTCTTTTTTTTCATAAGTTAGAATGAAAGATCCTGCTCTGAGTGTACTGAATCTGTTCCAGTATTGTGCATCAATTCCGGTATCAAATGCAAACATTGAACGAATTTTCAGCGTCATGGGAAATTTGTGGACTGACGAACGTAACCGACTGCTTGTACCATCAGTTCGAAGCGAACTTTGTATATTTTTTAATATTTCTCAACGTTGTACTGAAATTAAAGAATTATTCCTTCAACACAAAGAATTGATCAAAGCTGCGCAGTCAAATAAAAAATACACACGACAGCAAAGTAAAATAATATGTAAATTTAATATTTTACATATTATTATAATATATTTGATGTTTTGAATTTTAAGTAAAGTTTTGAAGTGATTATTTTAATACGTGTTAAAATGTTTGTAAGAAAATATATAATTTAATTGTAAATTTTTTTAAAATTTTTTTTTACTACTATCCCCACCCCCGCCCCCCGCTTGTCCGCTATTTTTTGGAAGCAGACCTGGCAACCCTATCTACAACCTCTTTGGCGAAGAGGTTGTAAAAAAAATGCTTTCAAAAGGCGCGAGTGGGTGGAGCCTCCCGCACTGGCACTACCGGTTTACCCGACCCGGATAGAACCGGCTGAATTTCACCTCTGTCTTTATTTCTATCTCCCTTTCTGTCTAGCTCTATTCTTTCCCTCCCTCTCTGTCTCTACATCTACATCTATATCAGTAGGAGAACCAGTGGCAGAACCACAGGGTGGAGTCAAAAGAGGGATCAGCCTAGAATCCCTACACAGTCATAAGAAAACTTAAGTCCAATCTCCTCTGAATTCCTTTGACCTTTATCTAACTCCAAGCAGGTGCTGACCAATAGTTGAGAAGATTCCTGTGGATAGGTTGTTTAGCGATAAATCAGTTTATTTGGACCTTCTTCACACAGGGACCTGATCTTTTGTGCCTGACTTCACCTCAGGAGATTCTGAATTGTTACCTTCTCCGCGAAACATGCTTTGGGGTCTGGTAGGCCACAGCAATCACTCGTGGCAGTTTGGCTGGCAGAATACAAGGTAATGAGAAGAGCCTCTGGAGCACGGGTGTATAACCGGGCCACGTCATAAATATTACTGCAAAAGGAAAAAAAAGAAAAGTATGGCAGAAAAGTGGAACTTTGGTGTCCATTGCGGCCCTGAGCTCTACAACATCAACAATAACACAACCTCTTTAGGAGAGATGGACGGCGTACGATTCTAATACAGGTAGTCCTCAACTGATGGCTATCTCAGCAGCGCGGGTAGTGATGGGAGCAGCATGGCGCTCCCATGTAACACCGCTCCTGCGCGAGCTGCACTGGCTCCCGGTGGTCTTCCGGGTGCGCTTCAAGGTGCTGGTTATCACCTTTAAAGCGCTCCATGGCATAGGGCCTAGCTATCTTCGAGACCGCCTGCTGCTACCGACGACCTCCCACCGACCCGTGCGCTCCCACAGAGAGGGCCTCCTCAGGGTGCCATCAGCCAAACAATGTAGGCTGGTGACCCCCAGGGGGAGGGCCTTCTCTGTGGGGGCACCTACCCTCTGGAATCAGCTGCCCCCAGAGATAAGGAGAATCCAAGACCTCAGTGCCTTCCGCCGTGCCCTTAAAACCCACTTTTTCCAGCAAACCGGGCTGGCTTAGGAAGAAATTTTTTAAAAATTTTTAAATGTTTAATTGGTTTGTGGTTTTTTAAATTTTGGGCCAAATTTATATAGATTTTAATTGTTTTTAATATTTGTATTTCATGTTTTTAATTCTGGCTGTGCATCGCCCTGAGTCCTCAGGGAGAAGAGCAGTATATAAATTGAAAAATAAAATAAAATAAAATAAATAAATCTCTGAGCCCAAAGTTTATGTTGCTAAGTGAGACAGTGGTTAAGGGAAATTAGTCCCCTTTTTCAACCTTTCTTGCCACAGTTGTTCAGCGAATCACTTAGTAACACGGTTGCTAAGTGAATCTGGCTTCCCAGATTCCCCGTTGGCCACACCCACCCAGACGGCCAGACCCCCCAGCCCCCCGAGGTCAACCACGGTCCGGCCCTGATGCGGCCCTCAATGAAATTGAGTTGGACACCCCTGCCATAGACGTTTGGATCACAGACTGTCTTGCTTTCTCTGGATTTCATTCCTCTGGATTCACCTTATCAAAAATATTGGCCTTTGGATCGTTGGGAATACTGACAAATATTGATCCCTCTGGATAACGTTGCCTTAGATCAAAGAGATGTAGCGATGAGACCCAGTGTTAGGAAATGATAATTACCTAACTTGTTGAGTTGGCAATATATAAACCCTCACTACAGCTTTAAGACTGTATTGCTGTATTGCATCGTATTGTGTCCTGATTGGTTAGCCCTGTAGCCAATGTCCTTAAGAGGGAGCTTGAAACATGGTTTGTTTCTCTCTTTGCTGACCATTATTGCTCGCAGCTGATCATTATTGCTTTTTGCTGTGTTTGCTACTGTTTGCAACTGTTTATTGTGTATGACTACGACGACTGGTAAGAAGACTTTGTTATTGGAATATCCCTGGACTATTGTTTTACTATCTACTGCTTTATCTGTGTATGACCTGGACTGTTTATTGGACTGTGCCTTATTACTATTTCCTAAAAGTAAACACAACTCAGTGTATCTGTGTGTTGGCTGTGTTTGTTCGCAACTGCTCTCAATCGCTTTCATGTGCACACCCTTGCTACTCAAGGGTTGCTCTGCGAATTCCTTAACACCCAGTTTGGTCTCAATCCTGGCCACTTCCTGAGTGACCTTAGCCCAGGTCCTCTCCTTCATCCCAACATACTTCACACAATTGATGTTGGGCAGTGGTGGAAATCAAATAATTTAATAACTGGTTCTCTGCCCTAATGACCGGCTGGGTGGGCGTGGCCATGGTGGGCATGGTCAGGGGGTGTGACAGACAGCACTCGGCCTCCTGCACCTCCCAGGGAGCGAAAACAGGGTGCGGAGGGGGAACGCTGCACCCCTGCCCCCTGTTTTGGATCTAGTAGGTCTCCCTGCAGCCTCCTGGGAGCAAAAACAGGCCGTGGGGTCCCCCCATGCCCCGTTTTGGGCCTAGTGGGCTTCCCTGCATTTACCTGGGAGCCAAAATGGGGCATGCGGGGACTCCTGGAAGGGGTGGGGCCAGCCAGCAATTTAACTTCCGGTTCGCCCGAACCGGCCCAAACCGGATCAATCCCACCACTGATGTTGGGGAAAGAAGTGAAGAAGGGGAACTATGTATGTTCTCCTGAGCTCCTGAAGGGAAGGCAGGGTATGAGTCTAAAAAAATAAAGACATTTCTGGGTTCTAGAGCGAGTGACCTTCTTTCTCAAATTCCTATGAAACGGTTGGAAAGCACTGCATGCAAATCCTGCCCCTAGAGAAGGAGAAAAATGGCTCCAAATCCTCTTACCGATATATGTCTAGTTCGCCATCTTCTCCGCAGGCACCTTCGTCAACCGAACTGGGAACCTGAGGGACCTGGGAATGCTTATCCCACGGGAGCGAGTAAATGCACAAGTATTTTCCCACGTCATCTTTAGAACTGCAACAGGTTCTGAGTCTTTCATTCCCGCCACAGGCAGTATTGCAGATGTGGGCGATGTGAAGTTTGAGCTGGAAGACAGGAGGACATTGCCTTTGCAACACAATACACACAACAGGACTGATAGCATTTGACCGAAGAGTTCATGGCTTCCTTGGAAAGAACGTCAACCTTCTCCTTTTGATTTTTTTTTAAAAATAAAAATACAGGTTGCCCTTGAGTTACGATCACAATAAAGCCCAAAATTTCTGCTGGGAAGTGAGAAGATCCCAATTCAGGTAGTCCTTAACTTATAGCCATTTTTTAAAATGATTGACAGTATAACAGCATTGAAAAAGAGACTTGTCAGTATATTCATGAACTGGAATAGGCATAGCAACAGGTCAGCCAATGGGGACTGTTTGGTAACTGAAACATAGTATTTGTTGTATGGGGCCATAAGAGACAGTTTGGAGCCTGGGCGTGGCTTAACTGTTCTGTATATAAGCTTGAGAGCACTAGCTTCTCCCTCCTCCATTTTGCTTCCTCCATTTTGTGCTTCCATTTTGTGCTGCGTTCGTACATGCTATTTCTCCGCTCTACCACGTTGGAAAAACCATCATGGGTATTGCATAGTTGTCTTATATGTTTTATATATATATAAAGAAGTTTTGAATCCTGCTGAATTGTCTGATTGTGTGTGCTGCAACAAACTCTGACACGACTTATGACCGTTTTTTTTACACTTATGTAAAACCATGATGTGGTTTTTCAGAAGGCAACTGGACTTCCTTGTTTTTCCTTTGGAAGACATTTTGCTTCTCATCCAAGAAGCTTCTTCAGCTCTGACAAGATAGTGGAGAATCGAAGGACAGTGAGAACAATCAACCCATGGAACAGAAGTTGCCTTCGGAAGTTGTGGGAGCTTCATCACTTGAGACTTTCAAGAAAAGATTGGACTGCCATTTGTCAGAAATAGTGTAGGGCAGTGATGGCTAACCTTTTTGCCATCGTGTGCCAAATGTGGGGGGAGCGCAGGGGGATTGCGTGTGTGCGTGCCCACACCCATAATTCTATGTGCCCCGCCCCCGCGCATGTGTGTGTGTGACACCCCCCCGCGCTTCCCTTGCTTTTGGCATGTGATGGCATGACAGGCCCGTAGGCCCGTTTTTCACCCTCCCCAGGCTCCAGAGCCTTTCTAGGAGCCTGGGGAGGGCGAAAATGGCCTTCCCCACCCTCCCTGGAGCCCCTCCAAAGGCCGGAAATGGGCCCAGAAGGCCCGAAAATCAGCTGGCTGATGGATGCATGTGTGCCAGAGCTGAGCTCACGTGCCCAACGATATGGCTCTGTGTGCCACCTGTGGCACGCATGCTATAGGTTCGCCATCACAGGTGTAGGGTCTCCTGTTTGAGCGGGGGGTTGGACTAGATGACCTATAAGGTCCCTTCCAACTCTGTTAATCTGTATCTGATTTATATTCCTCGCAGACAGCTGGTCATTTTCATTTGAAGTGATCACCCTCTAAAAGGATGCAAATGACCAGCTGACTGCAAGGAATATAAATCCTTCCATTCCCCACTATCCTGTCAGAGCTGAAGAAGCTTCTTGGATGAGGAGTGAAACATCTTCAAAAGAAAAAAAAACAGAAAGTCCAGTTGCCTCCTGAAAAAAAGCACCTTTGGGACAATCATGACCTGGATGACTGAGAATCTCTATGGACGTTATGTACAACCACATAAAAACTTATGTAAAACCATGTACACGATTGCAGCATCTTCATGATCTCGTGTGATCAACATTCAGATCAGGGGTGAAATCCAGCAGGTTCTGACAGGTTCTGGAGAACCGGTAGCGGAAATTTTGAGTAGTTCGGAGAACTGGCAAATACTACCTCTGGCTGGCCCCAGAGTGGGATGGGAATGGGGATTTTGCAATATCCTTCCCCCAGGAGTGGGGTGGGAATGGAGATTTTGCAGTATCCTTCCCCCAGGAGTGGGGTGGGAATGGAGATTTTGCAGTATCCTTCCCTTGCCACGCCCACCAAGCCACGCCCAGAGACCCGGTAGTTAAAAAGATTTGGATTTCACCACTGATTCAAATGCTTGGCAACTGGCATGTATTTATGATGGGGTCATGTGATCCCGTTTTGTGACCTTCTGACAAGCAAAGTGAAGGGGGAAGCCAGATTCACTTAACAGCCGTGTTTCTAACTTAACAACTGCAGTGGTTCACTTAACAACTCTGGCAACAAGGTTATAAAATGGGGCAAAACTCACTTAACAACTGTATCCCTTAGGCATAGAACTTTGGGCTGAGTCGTGGTCGTATGTCGAGGACTGTCGATAGCTTAGGGCGTAGCAAGAGAATTGCACAGGATGACCAGGCCTTGATCATTGTAAGTTAGAACTTAGAGAAGATCTGACAAGATATGGTTAGTGAATTCTCCTGCCCCCATAATTATCACTTGTTCTTCCCCAGCTACGGACCCCAAAGAACGTAGCACACAAAAACTCTATACAAAGCTTATTTTACTCAAAATAACTTAGTCTTTATCATTCAAAGGCTGTTAATGAACTGTCTTAACAACCTACCAGAATTTTAAGATAAGGGAATCACAGTCTTACTAGAGTTGGCAGAAAGCCCAGAAGCAATTTTGCAGACACGAAGGAGAGTGAACTAAAGTTGTTTTCTACAACTTGTTGCAAGTGGCGTTCCTTCTTAAATAGGCTAAGGGAGTGGCCAATTAGCCCCAAGCCTTACTCTCGAGGAGACCTCCTCCTGAGGAGCCACTCCTGCCTTTTGGCAGCTCTGCGTGCCCGTACATTGAGAAGAGGCTCCTCCTCTTCCTCCTCTTCACTTAAAGGAGCTTCTGGAGCTTCTGAAGGCCCTGGCTGAATCCCTGCCTCTGGCACCACATCTTCTCCAGCCTCCTCACTGTCCGACTTGAGCGCCAGCGGCACAGGCTGCTGACGTAGCACCACACTAGCCTCCTCGTTGTCGGAATCAGCTACAATCTGCACAGGCCGCTGACGGGCCACAACATCGCTGCCCTGCTGGAAGTCAAGTCCAGCAAGAGCTGCATCATCTAGTCCAGGGGTGGGATTCAGCCGGTTCGGGCCAGTTCAGGCTAACCGGTAGTTAAATTGCTGGCTAGCCCCGCCCCTCCCTGCCCTGCCCCTTCCAGGAGTCCCCACGTGTCCCATTTTGGTTCTGAGGTAAGTGCAGGGAGGCCTCCTATGCCCAAAACAGGGTGCCCCCCAGGGCCGTTTTTGCTCCCAGGAGGCTTCAGGGAGGCCTCCTGGGCCCAAAATGGGGCACGGGTGGCGATAGACCCCCCTCCCGCAGCCCGTTTTTGCTCCCAGGGGGGTGCAGGAGGCCACGCCCACCATGGCCACGAGAACCGGTTGTTAAATTATTTGAATCCCACCACTGATTTCTAGTCATACAAATTGTAGAAATAAGACCTAAGTGGATTTGCCTGCCTTTCTTGCTCACTCACCTCATTCTGGAAACAATTTTCTTCCAAACTATCGCAGCACTTGGAAAGAATTTCAGACGTTTCTCCAGCGAGGTTTCTGGCATTCTCAAAGGACAGGCTTGGAGTCTGCTGGGTGAATTTTATTAAGTAGCTAGAGAGCATTAGGGAAGAGAAGAAGAAGAAGAAAAAAATGAGAATTTAGCCAACCAAGAATTGAATTAGCCACTTAAAAATGTCTGGCTTTCCTAAGCATTTTTGATACTGTAGAATAGAGGTGTCACAACCTTGGCAACTTTAAGACCTGTTGGACTTCAACTCCCAGAATTCAGTTCTCAGAATTCCCCCAATGCTGGCTGGGGAATTCTGGGAGTTGAAGTCCAACAGATCTTAAAGTTGCCAAAGTCGGACATCTCTGCAGTAGAGCGTAGTGGTAGCTATTTGTAATTTTCTTCACTGGTGTTGTGGCTGTCGAATTGATATGACATTTAGGCTGCTAGGCGATGAATTGGAAGTCAATACTGAGAAAAGCAAAGCAAGTAATTCTTGAATTCTGACAGACCTTTGAGTGTTATCTGACAATTTGATCTGCTAAAATGGAATTTTCCCTTCCCCAATATGATTGTTCCAGTTGGTCTGTCCTCTAACTCAGAAAGTCATTCAGCTATGTTCGTGATGGCGAACCTATGGCACGCATGCCAGAGGTGGCACGCAGCGCCCTCTCTGATGGCACGCGAGCCATTGTCCCAGTTCAGGTCCACTGTGCATGCACACGCGCCTCCTGCCAACCAGCTGGTCTTCGGGTCTCTGCTGTGCATGAGCAGGGAGCGGGGTGCGTATGGGGGGGTGCATGCATGACTGGGGGCTGGGGTGCATGCACAAGCAAGTGGCCATACACGCATGCACAGGGATGTTCAGGGGGGGCGTGTGTGCATGCACATAGGGCCGGCCACTTGCGGGGGCATACGCAAAAGCGTGGAGGCCAGGGTGCATGCGCGGGGGACTAAGGCACATGGACAGGGACCACACATGCATTGCATTTTGGGGGTTCGGGCGGGCACACACCAGAGGTGAAATGCTCCCGGTTCGCCCCATCCGGTAGCGATGGAGGCGAGTGGTTCAGAGAACCGGTAGCAAAAATCCCTGCCTACCCCCCATGCCCAGCTGAGCCGCACAATCATCAGAGGCCTTTTTTTTTTTACTATTAAAAGCTTTTTTACTATTAAAATTTTTTTCTACAACCTCTTCGGCCGAAAAAATGCTTTTAAAAGTAAAAAAAAAAGCCTCTGATGATCGTGCGGCTCAGCTGGGATTGTCAAAGGCTTTTAAAAGCATTTTTTTCTACTACCTTTTCAGAGGTTGTAGAAAAAATGCTTTTAAAAGCCTCTGATGATCCCAGCTGAGTTGCCTGATCAGCAGAGGCTTTTTTTCTTTTAAAAGCCTCTGACGATCCAAGCTAAGTTGCCTGATCGGCAGAGGCATTTAAAAGAAAAAAAGCCTCTCCTGATCAGGCAACTCAGCTGGGATCGTCAGTAAAAAAAAAATAATAAAAAAAATTGGCCATGCCCACCCAGCCACATTACCCTCCCCAAGCCACGCCCACAGAACCAGTAGTAACAAATTTTAGATTTCACCACTGGCACACACGCATTCGTAGGCGCGCACACGTGCTTTGGACACTTGGTCTGGAAAAGGTAAGCCATCACTGACCTATGTGATTGCTCCTGGCGATCCCTTTGGTAGGGTTGCTTGCTAACTCGATTTAACCTTGTTTTTGGGGGGCATGTAACCATGTTTCCAAGCAAAACATTGGTTTGTAGGTCTGTAGAGTGTCATTTCTTTTCTTTTTTCTCTTTAAATAATCAGTGGAACGGGTTGCCTTGAGAAGTTGTGGGTGCTCCAGCACTGGAAGTTTTTAAGAAGAGATTGGACAGCCATTTATCCAGAATGATACAGGATCTCCTACTTGTGCACATGGTTGGATTAAAAGTCATCTCCCCCCAAGGTCCCTTTCAAATCCCTTATTCTGTTATTTTGAGGTGGAGGAGATAGAAGAGATGGAAAAGATGGAGGGGATGGAGGAAATGGAGAAGATGGAGGAGGAGGGGAGGGAGGAGGAGAAGAAGGAGGAGGAGAAAGAGAAGAGGGAGGAAAAGGAAAAGGAGAAAAAGGAGAAGGAGAAAGAGGAACAGAGGAGGAGAAGGAGAAAGAGGAATGGAGGAGGAGAAAGAAGAGGATATGGAGAAGGAGAAGGAGAAGGAGAATAAGGAGGAGAAAGAGGAGTTGAGGAGGAGAAAGAAGAGAGATGGAGGAGGAGAAAGAAGAGATGGAGGAGAAGGAGAAGAAGAAAAAGGAGAAGGAGAAAGAGGAGATGGAGGAGGAAGAGAAGGAGGAAAAAAGGAAAAGGAGAAAGAGGAATGGAGGAGGAGGAGAAAAGGAGAAGGAGAAAGAGGAGATGGAGGAGGAGAAAGAAGAGATGGAGGAGAAGGAGAAGAGAGAGAAAAGAGAAGGAGAAAGAGGAGATGGAGGAGGAAGAGAAGGAGAAAAAGGAGAAGGAGAAATAGAAAGAGGAATGGAGGAGAAGGAGAAGAAGGAGAAGAAGACAGAGGAATGGAGGAGGAGAAGGAGAAGGAGAAAGAGAAGGAGAAAGAGGAGATGGAGGAGGAGAAAGGAGATGGAGAAGGAGAAAGAGAAGAAGGAGAAGGAGAAAGAGAAGAAAGAAAAAAAATGGTGTTTTCAGTGCAATGCCATGATTCTGTTGTATAGAAATTGAAAGATTCCTGGAGAAAAATCTGTATCTATGGGGTCACTAAGAGTCAATATCACCTTGGTGGCACATAATCAAAATGGAAAGATGCGTATATACAGTATAGAGACGGTAACCAGCTGAATCTCCCACGGCTCAGTTGTGAATTTCATGCGATAATGCGAAAACATTATCCTTCTGACCTGGCATAGGTGCATGAGACAAAAGGATTTTTTCCCCACTCTACCTGACTGTGGTTTTATTTTTCCCAAGCAAGGCATAGAGTGCGCAGGCTTTGTTTGATAGATGGGTAAAGGCTTGGGCAGGCTTGTGTTGTAACCTCTGCAAAGGAAAAGGAATGGAAAATGGTTGGGTAGAGATCACACAGGTACTTTATATGGGCAATCGCTCCCCTCAAAATCAACAGAGCATCATCTAATCTGGTAGGACAACAATACATGTTCACTCCATTTAGCAGACATGGATTTTGATCTGGGACGGCTGATGGAAGGCACAGAGCTGAGCGACCATTAGCAGATCTGGGAGACTTTCTTAAAACATTGTCTAAAACCTTGGAAATAATGCATTCAGTGGACAGAATAAAAAAAAAAACCCTTTTTATGGCCCGGTAATTCCTTAATTTGGGATCGAGTTGGGGTGACTGGATGGAGCTGAGCATTTACTGGCCGGATGCCCTTCCTGATGCCACATAGAGTTTGCTGCAGATATTTTTTCTTTGCACCCAGAGAGAGAGAGAGAGAAACATCTGCCGCTATTTAGGATCAAACTCTCAACCTTCCAAGAGGGAGGCGAATATGCTGCTGAACTTTTATCATCTATATCTATACCTGTATCCGTATTCCCATCCATCCATCCACGTCTGTCTGTCTGTCTGTCTGTCTGTCTGTCTGTCTGTCTCTCTCTCTCTCTCATCTATCTATCTATCTATCTATCTATCTATCTATCTATCTATCTATCATCTATCTCTATCTATCTCTATCTTTATCTACTATCATCTATCTATCTATATCTCTCTTTATCTACTATCTATCTATCTATCATCTATCTATCTTTATCATCTATTTATCATCTCTATCTATCTCTGTCTATCTATCTAGCTATCTATCATCTATCATCTATCATCTATCTATCTATCTATCTATCTATCTATCTATCTATCTATCTATCATCTAACTCTCTACCATCTATATCTTTATCTACTATCTGACTGTCTGTCTGTCTGTCTATATCTATCCATCCATCCATCCATCCATCCATCCATCCATCCATCTATCATCTATCATCTATCATCTATCATCTATCATCTATCATCTATCATCTATCATCTATCTATCATCTATCTATCTATCTATCTATCTATCTATCTATCTATCTATCTCTATCTAATCTATCTATCGAGATAGATAGCTTGGAAATTTAAACCTTTGCTTTGCTCTGCCTTAAAAATATTCTGCTGTTTGGGTCAATTTTGATCAGCTTGACGCTCTTGGGCAAATGATCACTTGAGCGTACATAAATAAATCATTTGGTGGGATGGAAATCTAATCATGGGCTTTCTAATGCAACGGGAGGCCGGAATGGAGGTGAGATGATTACAGTTTATTGGGCAGCTGATAAGAGCAGTGGGAAGAATGCACCGACCTCTTTCAAGAAGCAGATGTTATTTTGTGTGCTGGCGCAGCAGGTTCTCACGGCGGATAAATAATTTCTTGTAGAGTTCAGCAAGATTGGCAGAGGAGCGTAGCTGTGATCACTGGAATACTCGACCAGAAACCTAGAAGATAGATGAGAAAAAAAGAACATAGAGGCGTAGCATGGAAGACTAGTTGAGTAAATACAGGTAATTCCTCGATTTATGACCACAATTGAGTGCAAAATTTCTGTTGCTAAGGGGACTATTTGCTAAGTGAATTTTGCTCCATTTTACAATCTTTCTTGCCATCGTTATTCAGTGAATTACTGCAGTGGTTAAGTTAGCAACATGGTTGTAAAGTGAATCTGGCTTCCTCGAATAAATAGAAATGTGTAGAAAGTCAGTATCCACCCACCCTCCTAGAGGATGAAATATTTTGGGCGATATTAAAAAAAGGCAGGATAGAATATTTTCCTTAAAGGAGAAATGGGGAAATATCTTAAGGGAGGCAGAAACCAGCCCGAGTCTCCCTGCCCCAAGCAGAAACTGAGGAGGCCAACTTTTAGAAATGCAGATTTGGTGATCCATTCAGAAAGACTGGGTCAGACCGAAACTCCAGATAAGCAACAAGCCAAATGTGGACAAGATTAGCTCAGACAAACACCTACAATTTGCAATTCCCCTTTTGCTTATAGAGCCAGACATGACCCCTACATGACCACCTAGGAATCCAGAAGGTATAAAACCCACCCACTCTCAACTCCATTTGGCCAGCTGTCCCAGAACTGCATGCTGCGTGTGTGTTGGTTCCGTTCACCAAAAACCCAGAATCTTTCTTTCCAATCAGCCTCCATTTTATTCCCGGCTTGGACCTGGACCTAAATTTTTCTTCTAACAAATGAAATCCAGACAGCCGTGAAGAAAGGAGAAGTATTTATTCCCATAGCAAAGAGTTTTGTCTTTAGGGGCAGCTGCAGAGAAAATGGATACAGAGACGCTGTATATAGGGAAGCTTGCCCTGGGTGTGGAAGTGTGTATGTGCTAATTTTAGAGTGAAACTTGAGAGGTGTGAACATGTGTACACAGGGGTGGGCTTCAAAAATTTTAGCAAGGGGTTCTCTGTCGGTTGCTGGGTGGGCTTGGCCATGGCGGGCGTGGCCTAGTTGGCCTCCTGCACCATGGTGGGGGCGTTTTTTGCCCTCCCCAGGCTCCAGAGGTTTTTTTCGAGCCTCCGGGAGGGCGAAAATGGCCTCCTCAGGCTCTGGAGGCCCTCTGGAGGCCGGAAATATTCCTGAACTTCTGGTAAGCCCCGTTTTTGGCCCTCCCTGAGCCTTCACGTGTGCCCTGCTCTTACCTGAATCCAAAACGGGCCTCATGGAGACTGCTGGGAGGGGCGGGGTGGGCAGGGCCAGCCAGGAATGGGATTTGGGGGTTCTCTGAACTGCAGAGAATCTTAGCTAGAGGTTCTCCCGAACCCCTGCGGATCCCTAGCAGCCCATTCCTGTCTGTACGTGCTGACCCTGGAGATAGGGTTGATTAAATCAAGCGATATGGATTGAGTCTTTTCATTTGAACGGTGAGTGATATAATTATATTTATATTGTGTTAATTGAAGGTTGTGTGTTTGTTTCAGTGTGTGTTTACAATCTGAAATAAGCATTTAGTTAATTTTTTTTTATGTTTGCTATGAGTTTAAAGGATGTCAAAGGCTGTTTTTGGGATACCTGGATTAGTTAACATATGACTCTCTCAACAATATTTCCAACACAGTTATATACATTTATACATTCTTCTCACAGTACGAATGGGGATAATCAAGCCACACCTTCAGATTACATGAAGAAATGGGAAAACTTTCTTGGTTCTGGAACTAATTTGCAACATGTGCAGAAATTTGTCTATAGAGATTCTCAGTCATTTAGTTCATGCTTGTCCCAAAGGTGCTCTTTCAAAAGACAACTGAAACTTCCTTTGTTTTTCCTTGAAGACATTTCACTTCTCATCCATGAAGCTTCTTCAGTTCTGACTGAATGGTGGAGAATGGCAGCTGACCTTAAGGACATAGATAAACCTCCAAGTGGCCTCAACGACTCTCAGAAAGAGTACCAAGGACCAGATGACTGCAAGGAGTGTAAATCCTTCCATTCTCCACCATTCCGTCAGAACCGAAGAAGCTTCTTGGATAAGAAGTGAGATGTCTTCAAGGAAAAACAAAGGAAGTCCAGTTACCTCTTGAAAAATCACCTTTGGGACATGTGCAGAAATTCACCACACAATGAAGATGGCTGACGCTTTCTGCATCTCACCTCTCTTCAAATCCCCGAGGGTCCTTCTTGAAGGCGTCACATATTTCCTCGTTGGATGGCTCCAGGTAGGTTGGGAACTCCTTAGAGGGGTGTTTCAAGGCTGCCAGGCAGAGCTTTCGAGCAAGACCTTGTTCAGTGCAGCATCCAGCTATCCCTGGGTGTCTTGGGAAAGGAGCATCTGGGCGGCAGGATTTTTCGGAGAGAGCAGTAGACTTTGGTGGAGGGTGTGTATGAGGGTTGGTGGGAAAGTAAACGATAGAAGAGAAGGGGCAGAGAAAAGGATGCGTGTTATTACTCTCATCCAATTTTGAGGCACTCTTGGTGCTCTTTGAGCTTGGTTGTTCTCTTGCAGATGTTTCATGACCCAACTAGGTATCATCATCAGTGGTAAAAGGGAGTGAAGTTTGTATATGTATATATGAACAGAGAGCAAACTCCACTCCCATCTAGCATTAATCGTATTATCTAATTTGAGTAACGAAACATTTGCAAGAAAACAACCAAGCTCAGAGAGCACCAAGGACCCCACAGTCGTGCTTGTCCTCTTCGTCCTCCTTGTCCTCATCCTCCTCGTCCTCATCCTCCTCCCCCCTTTCTCATTCTCCACCCATAAACCCCATTCCCTTCCAACACTGTTGATGTTAGATAGTTAGGTACCCTAGTTGGGTAATGAAATGTCTGCATGAAAACAGCACAAGCTCAGAGAGCACCAAGGACCCCACAGTTCTCGTCCCCATCCTCGTCCTCCTCGTCCTCCTCCCCCCTTTCTCATTCTCCACACATAAACCCCCATTCCCTCCAGCACTCTTGATGTTAGGTAGTTAGGTACCCTAGTTGGGTAATAAAACGTCTGCATGAAAACAGCCAAGCTCAGAGAGTACCAAGGACCCCACAGTCTTCGTCCTCGTCCTCCTTGTCTCGTTCTTCTCCTCCTCCCTTTCTCATTCTCCATCCATAAACCCCATTCCCTTCCAACACTGTTGATGTTAGGTAGTTAGGTACCCTAGTTGGGTAATGAAATGTCTGCATGAAAACAGCCAAGCTCAGAGAGTACCAAGGACCCCACAATCCTCGTCCTCCTTGTCCTCGTCCTCCTCCTCCTCCCTTTCTCATTCTCCATCCATAAACCCCATTCCCTTCCAACACTGTTGATGTTAGGTAGTTAGGTACCCTAGTTGGGTAATGAAATGTCTGCATGAAAACAGCCAAGCTCAGAGAGCTCACAGTCCTCGTCCTCGTCCTCCTCCTCCTCCTCCTCCCCCATTCCCTTTTATGATCATATTACCACGTGAAATAGTAATAATAATATAATAACAATAATGAAATAATACTGAAAAATGCATGAAGCATCTGCAAGAAAACCACCAAACTCAGAGAGTACCAAGGATCCCTCATTTCAACCCCGAGCTACAAATTTTCTCCTTTATTCCCCCAACTTTCTCTGGAGGGGAAGAAGAGGAGGTCAATTCCACACTCTCTATCAGCACCGTTTCATTTAATTCCCTGTCACATTTTCTACTGAAGCCCGCTAGCTATTTCAAGGCAGATCACCACACTGGCCCGAAGGCAGAACTTGTCTTCCATGCTAGCTCTGAGCAATTGGTTTTTATCAGGCACAAGGGACCAGAACGACACTGTGAGCTGATCAGAGTTGCTCCTTTATTGCTGTCAACCTATTTGCTACAAAGCTACAAAGATGATTAGGGGACTGGAGGCTAAAACATATGAAGAACGGTTGCAGGAACTGGGCATGGCTGGTCTAGTGAAGAGAAGGACCAGGGGAGACATGATAGCAGTCTTCCAATATCTCAGGGGCTGCCCCGAAGAAGAGGGAGTCAAGCTATTCTCCAAAGCACATGAGGGCAGGACAAGGAGCAATGGGTGGAAACTAATCAAGGAGAGAAGCAACTTAAAACTAAGGAGGAATTTCCTGACAGTGAGAACAATTAATCAGTGGAACAACGTGCCTCCAGAAGTTGTGAATGCTCCAACACTGGAAGTTTTTAAGAAGATGTTGGATAACCATTTGCCTGAAGTGGTGTAGGGTTTCCTGCCTAAGCAGGGGGTTGGACTAGAAGATCTCCAAGGTCCCTTCCAACTCTGCTATTCTATTCTATTCTGTTCTGTTCTGTTCTGTTCTGTTCTGTTCTGTTCTGTTCTGTTCCCTTCCCTTCCGTTCCCTTCCTTTCCCTTTCCTTTCATCTCATTTCATTCCATATATTCTATTTCTATTATTTCTATTATTTCTATTATTTCTATTTCTATTTCTATTTCTATTTCTATTTTTATTTCTATTTCTATTCCATTCCATATATTCTATTTCTATTATTTCTATTTCTATTTGTATTATTTCTATTTCTATTTCTATTTCCATTCCATTCCATTCCATATATTCCATTCCAAATATTCTTTTCTATTGCTACTTGTTATCCAATCACCTCCGGTGACTGGATCTGCCTGCATGGATGTTGAACTTTACCTCATTTTCATAGCAGTCTGGATCAGCTCCTGCAGTGCAACATTTTTTGGCCAAGTCGACCATGTCGTTGACGAGACTGATGATTTGTTCAAAGGTGGCATTAGAATACTTCCTGCTGTTTATGACGAGTGATCTGCAAAAGCCAAGTTGAAAGAACAGTGACGGTGTCTGATTTGAAAGGTCTGTTTGTCGCCGTTGGGGATCTAGAGCTGGGCCACCATGGAGAGCTTTTCTTCCGGAGCAGATGCATATTAAAAAGGGATAGAGCTTGCCAAAGAAGCCTGGCCCTCTGACAAATCAGCCATCCATAGACACAATTTACAACATCTATAGATTTGTGGAAAGCCACCCCACCCCCACCCCTGGCAGAAGAATGTGTTGTGGCCCACCGGTGGCCTGTGGAGTTGGCAGCAGAGTCGGACAGTGAGGAGGCTGGGGAGGAACATGGGCCAGTCCTGGGAGCTGGGGAAAGCTCGGACGAGGGCTCTGCATTGGAGGCAGAGTGGGAGTTAGACAGTAGAGAGGCAGAGGAACAGCTGGAACCTGTTCCCAGTGTGCGCATGCACAGAGCTGCCAGAAGACAAGAACAACTCAGAAAGCAGGGTCAACTCAGGAGTAAAGCCGCACCTTGGAGATGATTGGCCCCTCCCTTAGGACATAAAAGAGGAGCGAATGGGATATGGGCTTTTGCAGGAAGCAATTAGTTCATCTCGTTTCAAGATTGGAAAATTCTGTTCGTGACCCTAATAGACTCGGTGCCAAGTTTGGCCTTGCTCTGCTTTTGGAAATTGGTTCTCTGGCAGCGTTCCAAGTGAGATGAGGTGGGGGTTGATGTGCCTTAAGGTGAGGAAATTTTGGTATAAAATTAAAGGGTCGTTGGAAGAGATTACACTCCAAAAGATAGATTTTAAACCAGAGATGTTCCTCCTCGGAATGATTGATAGAAAAATGGAAAAAAGTCTCTATTATATTATATTGCATATTCGAACGGCGGCCAGAATTACTCTAGCGCAAATGTGGAAGTCGACCAATATATCATTAATAATAATAATAATAATAATAATAATAATAATAATAATAATAATAATAATTTTATTTCTATACCGCCCTTCTCCCGAAGGACTCAGGGCCATGTACAGCCAATTTAAAAACACAAGACACAACAATGATTAAAAATTAAAATAATTAAATAGATTTGGCCGATTTAAAACCCCAAAAATTTAAAATACCCCAATTTAAAATTATTATGTTATTATGTTGATAGCCCGGCCTGGCGGAACAATAGGGTCTTCAATGTCTTCATTGAAGAAACAATAATAAAGAAAATCCTCGAATGCGCCGAAATGGATAAATTAACGATGGAGATCAAAGAAAGAGAAGACTCGGATTATTATAAAGTGTGGAATAGGTTTTATACATGGTTGGAAAACAGAACTCAAATTGAGAAATAAGAATATAAAGTGAAATTTGATATTAACATACTGGATATAAATGTAAATAATGATCCTGCTAACAAAACAGTTAATCATGACTATTTAAAAATAAAGAGAAGGAGCGGGAGGATAAAAGCTAAGAGTAAAGACAAAAAGATGTATTTTTGCTCTAAAAAAGATGTATTTTATGTTTTATGTTTAAAAATGAATAATATTTTTTTAAAAAAAGACGATGCAGAAAGTTGTAAAATTGTATATATCTGTTGTTAGTATTGTATTTTAATGTCTGATGTGTGTGTGTTTTTGTTTTTTTGTTTTTGCCTCTTGACTTCTTTTGCTATTGTGTGTTTGGTTTTAAAATGTAAAATACTCAATAAAAATTATTATTATTTTTTTTAAAAAAGGTGGGGGTTGATAAACATTCCTTTGAAAGGCTGTTTGCCAAAGCCTTGTTGACTGTGAATGAACGGAATTCACAGCCGTGTTAATAAAAGAGGTTTTATTGGGATTAAGACTTTGCTTCATGCTTTCTAAGGAAGCCTAGGTACCAGAACTCATCCTTCGGGGTTGGTCCTGGCTTCTATGCACAGTAAGTAAAGTATAAGCCGATATTCTGAACCCCCCAAAATAATCCGGCTTCAAAATACATACATGGAGCGAAAATCCGTTTCCCCCAATATGTTGTATTCATTGCAGACCTTCTCTTTGAAGTAATCCTTGCCTGTCAAAACAAAAGATGAAACGTGGATTAATTAAAAAAAATGTTTTATTTGTTTTATTTATATAAAATTCGATTTTCATCAAACAGTGTGTGGTTTGGGTACAGTTATTTTACAATAATAGGTAATAATAACAGGTAAAGGTAAAGGTCCCCCTCGCACATATGTGCTAGTCGTTCCGGACTCTAGGGGGCAATGCTCATCTCCGTTACAAAGCCGAAGAGCCAGCGCTGTCCGAAGACGTCTCTGTGGTCATGTGGCCGGTATGACTCAACGCCAAAGGCGCACGGAACGCTGTTATCTTCCCACCAAAAGTGGTCCCTATTTTTCTACTTGCATTTTTTTTAATGTGCTTTCGAACTGCTAGGTTGGCAGAAGCTGGGACAAGTAATGGGAACTCACCCCGTTACATGGCACTAGGGATTCGAACTGCTGAACTGCCGACCTTTTGATCGACAAGCTCAGCATCTTAGCCACTGAGCCACGATAATATAATAACAATAATACTTAACATCATCTTCTTTAACAACTCTCCACTTTAGCATTTCCTCCTTTTACATCTCCTCCTTTCTAACTTCTGTTTCTATTGTCTAGCCGTTGATAAAATATATCCCATATCAAAAAATATTCAGTTTCTTCTTTATCCTTAATAGTAAGCGTTAGTCTATCCATTTCTGCGCATTCTAATATTTTCTTAATTACATTCCCCTCAGATTAATAATGGATTATTAATCGCTTGGATTAATAATCGCTTCAATGTTGAAGAGAAAGAAAACAATATCTAAGATCCAGATAGATCAGCGGCCTCCAGCCTTTTGGGCACCTGGGACCGGTTCCTTGGGGAGAGGGGTTTTTCCGTGGACCGGAAGGGGTGTGGTTTTGTGTGCTGCCTGCATCCCGCAGATGGGGCTTTGCTAATTTGTGCGGCCTGGTTTCTGACATGCCGGAACACGGACCACAGGTTGGGGACCCTGTCCTAGATGAGACTTTATGATAATTCTGATCCTTGCCATATCAAAATTTTGGATAGTAGGCAGAATTCCCATTTACATTTCCGCTAACTCAAAAATGGTTGTGTCAGGCCTGGAAGCCATCTTTTGCATTGGGCCTTCAGGCCTGCCACATTTACTACTGTGGGAAAACTGGGAGGGGTGAATTGTGTGGAGCCAGGGTGATATATTTATTATTTATTTATTTATTATTAGAATTTATATGCCGCCCTTCTCCCGAAGGACTCGGGGCGGCTCACACAAATAAAACAACAACAATAACACCTAAAACCAATATGAAAATTAAAATCCCCAAAGTTAAAACCTCCTAGTTGATCAGGGAGTTTGCTGGAATATGTAGTCATAATAACATTCCTTTCTCAGACAGTCAAGGCCATCTTGACCTGCACCTGGAGGGTTGGAACTGGGAGGCATCTCCAGTTGGGATGGTGCGTTGATTGGACCATGTGATGGATATGTGGGTGCTGGGCAGGGACTTGGACTTTCCTTTGGGTGGGGAAAACCTGGAAGCTTTCAGATTCGGGTTTTCCCAGATGTGCCAATATGACATCTCTAATAAAATGGAACTTTGAGGAACTTCAAGCCTCGGAGTCTTCTTTCGTTGGGGGTGTTCCTTGGAATCCTGACATTTTGTTGATTACAGGTAGTCCTCGGCTTACAACAGTTCGTTTAATGACCGTTCAAACTACACTGAAAAAAGGGACTTATGACCATTTTTCACACTTATGACCATTGCAGCATCCCCATGGTTATGTGATCAACAATCAGATGTTCGGCAGCTGACTCGTATTTATGACAGTTGCAGTGTCTGGGATCATGTGATCCCCTTTTGTGACTTGTGACAAGCAAAGTCAATGGGGAAGCCAGATTAACAACTGTGGCAAGAAAAGTCTTAAAACAGAGCAAAACTCACTTTACAAACGTCTTGCTTAGCAACACAAATTTTGGCTCAGTTATGGTTGTAAATCGAGGACTACCTGTATTTGAAGTGGAAAGACACTCATATTATCTCCTTCCTTCCTTCCTTCCTTCCTTCCTTCCTTCCTTCCTTCCTTCCTTCCTTCCTTCCTTCCTCCCTCCCTCCCTCCCTCCCTCCCTCCCTCCTTCCCTCCCTCCCTCTACAATTCACATTTCACAGTTAAAAATGGTGAGCAAGGAACTACACTTTATACAAGAATAATCCAAAAAAGAGATGAGATAGCAGTCATAGGCAAACAGACTTTGTCTCTTCTCAAAGTCATTTGTGTATGTGCCATTTTTATTGGGGATGACATGTAGATGTATTTGCAATGCAAGAAAGAAATGGGAGGAGGAGGAGGAGAAGGAAAAGAAGAAGAGGAAGAAGAGGAGTAATAGTAGTAGTAGAAGGAGAGGAAGAAGAAGAAGAAGAAAGAGAAGGAGAGGAGGAAGAGGAGGAGGAGGGAGGAAGAAGAAGAGACGAGGAAGAGGAGAAGCAAAAGAAGAAGAAGAAGAAAGAGAAGGAGAGGAGGAAGAGGAGGAGGAGGAGGAAGAAGAAGAGACGAGGAAGAGGAGAAGAAAAAGAAGAAGAAGAGAAGAAAGAAGGAGAGGAGGAAGAGGAGGAGGAGGAGGAAAAGAGAAGAGACGAGGAAGAGGAGAAGAAAAAGAAGAAGAAGAGAAGAAAGAGAGGAGAAGAAGGAGGAGGAGGAGGAGGAAAAAGAAGGGACGAGGAAGAGGAGAAGAAAAAGAAGAAGAAGAAGAAGAAAGAGGAGAGGAGAAGAAGGAAGAGGAGGAGGAAGAGAAGAAGGAGACGAGGAGAGGAGAAGAAAAAAAAGAAGAGAAGAAGAAGAAAGAGGAGAAGAAGGAAGAGGAAGAGGAGGAGGAAGAAGAAGAGAAGAGGAAGAGGAGGAGGAAGATGAAGAAGAAGAAAGGAGGAGGAGCAAGAGCAGGAAAACTCGCTTGTTGCACTAAGCAAGGATGTAAGGAATAATCCACCCCTTTGTCATAACAAATTCTATTATCACTTTAATCACAAGTAGACCAGAAAACCACAGGTTTCAATTATAATAAAAAAACCAACAACCTCTGAACATTCATACTGTCTGTGATGAATCAAAGGCACTGAACAAATATATGTCTACTTTTTAAACAGCGCCCTATAAAAATTACATTGATCTTTCTTCTTCCGACAGCTTAGTTGATAGAAATGGAGTTTAAAAACCTTCCCCAATCACCCTGCCGATCTCTCAAAAGCTTCATTTATATCCTTTTAGCTCCGACTCTAGATAGTTCCTCCTTTAGAGAGAGAGAGCGAGCATAAATCTTGGCTTAAATGGAGAACATCCATTTTAAATGATGGCTTCTGGGTACTTAAGGCCCTTCAATGCATGTTGACAATCGCTGAGGAAAAGAGCATTTTAAATGAAAGCCTCCCCCTCTTTCTTTTCTCTCCAGCTACTTAGGAGATACTCCTCCCCGTTAGTGTTCTGCTGTCTTCCCTGATTTATTAAAACCACGAGAATGGAGAAACCCTGAAATTCTAAACATTCCCTCAAGAGGTTATTTTTTTTTTAATCTTCAAGGGCCACCTGGGAAATCAGAACAATGCTGGAGGAAACAAAGACCTTGCCTACTTCTACTGCCTGGACCCGATGCGGCGCAAAGTCGGAACTATGGAAAAAATATATATATGAAAATTTAGAAGAAAAAAGATCCCTCTTCTGTGACATGGGAGAGGAATGAGCAGAGAGGCACAGTGGCTGGGGTAGACGACCAAAATGCACCTTTGGTGATCCCTAGAAATTAAGCTGATGAAACAGGGTAACAAGATGGCTAGTTCTGGTGGACTTAATGACAGACAGTTATGGAGGTGCAGATGACAGACTCAATAATTCCTCTGTAGAACTGGATCAGCAGCTCCTTGGGCAGTTTGAGCTTCCCGAGTTGGCATTGTTCATAATGGATCTAATATAAGGGTATTATCTAAGTGGACAAGAACGTGTAAAATGGTTTGCATGTTCAATTAGCAGCCAGTCTCTCACTGAAAGCCGTAGAGTCTTTGTGTATTTGTGTAGCTAGGTTTTCTTTACCAATTGTTGGAAAAATAAAAGCTGGTCCGGTTTTTATTCCAAGCCGGGAGAAAGGCGCATGAGAAATGAATTGGAGGCAGGCTGCAGTTGGAAAGGAGGTCTCCATTTACTGGGTTAGCCAGAAAAAAAAAACAGGGACAGCAGCATGTTTCTGGGGTGGCTGACAAATTGGGGTTGAGGGTAGATGGGCTTTTATATAATTTGGATGGCTTTGTGATTGAGATGCCTGTCTCTGTGCAAGAATATGTCCTTTAATATTTTAATGGCTGTTGTCAGATTCCTATGGGGTCATGTAGGGGTCATGACTGACTCTACAGGCAAAAGGAGAAATGCAAATCCTAGGTGTTTTGTTTATCAGAGTTTGTTGTGACAAACCCGAGGCCGACTTATCGGAGGGAGAAGGCTCCGAACATGAAGGAGAGGAGTTGGCCAGGCCTCCCTCTCCAGGGCCCTCCTCTCCGGCAATGCCTCAGGTGTCTCCTGAAGGAGAAGAGATTGGCCAGGAGCCAGGTATCTCCTCGCAGTCGGACAGTGACGGAGATAAGTCTTGGCTGGATCCACGCCAGCGTCGGAGAGACAAGCGCATGCAGCAGAAAAGGAGGCGTGCCAGAGATTAAGCTGAGTCACTGGACCACACCCCACAGGGGATAAAAGGGGGTGAGGTGGCCATTCAGACTCTGTGACGGACAAAACTAACTACTAGCGAGTCACATTGTATCTTTGAAACAACGTTATCTGCCTTGGATTTAATACGGACTGGACTTGACAATTCTTGAACTGTGTGTATCTTGTTTGGGTTTATCTGTCGGAGGAACAACCCCTCCCTCTATGAGTAAAGTTCTTGGCAAGCAGCTACTGGGTTGCTGCCAATCCTCTTATCGAAAGAATTTGTTGTCTGCCAGTTTTATTTAACCCCTGGCTATCTGTTTGTGTGCGTGTGTGAGA